ACTACTACTACTACTACTACTACTACTACTACTACTTCTGGTGCTCCTCTTCATTCTTCTCCCTCTTCTTCCTCCTCCTCCTCCTCCTCAGGATCCTCATCCACTCGTCAGCTTATGAGAGCTGTTATCCCTGGTCCCTCTGTGTGGTCGCGCTGCACTCAGCAGTTATTGCCGCTGTAGCGGCGCGTCACGGTGTCTTCCTTCTGACGTCTTCATTTACGCGCGTTCCCCCACCCGCCCGCCTCCATCAGTAAGCTCGTTGTGCACTGAACAAGCAGGTTGTTCCCTCTCTGAACCACGATCGTTCTTCTATTGTGCGTTGAACGTGCAGGTTGTTCCTTTTCCGAATCGTGACTATTCTTCCATTGGGTGCTGAACATTTAGGTTGTTCCCTTAGAACCACGACCATTCTTCCATCTGCGGGAGTTCCTCCCACCGTGTGCCGAACATGCAGGTTGTTCCCTCTCAGAACCTTGACTGCTCTTCCATTACGTTCGGAACGTGCAGGTTGTTCCCTCTCCGAACCTTGACTGTTCTTCCATTACGTTCGGAACGTGCAGGTTGTTCCTTCTCCGAACCACGGTTGTTCCTTACGTCGTCTGCTGAACATGCCGAGGATGAACGAACAGCCGCAAGTCGTAGGAACTGCGAGAAAGCTTCGCACACCGTGGACACGCACACGTTCCTCGCACAGAGATCCGTCGTCCGCCCTTGTCGTCATGGCAACGTCGAGAGAGGAGCTTCCTGTGCGCCGCCTTGTCACGGGAGCGCGGCGCATCCACATGCGGAAGTCATCCCGATAGGATGTTTCCCGGTGGGATGTTTTCCGGTTCCCCTTTGACCCGGGGAGATTCGTCCGACGCAGAGGGTGGGAGCTTATCACGTTGGGAATGTTCCTGGAAAAGCCTGGAAGGATTCCATCGGTCGCCGCTGGGAACACACAACTAGGCGGCGTTCGTCCGATGCGTCGTCGCTGTTATGCGTGTGGTGGTGGAACGACATGTCGCGATCGCGGTTTTTCGTCTTGGATGATGCGATAGTTCTAACGTGGACCTGTCGTTGGTGCATCTGACTGCGCCCCTAGAAGGAATCGGTCTCAATGTAACGCGGTCTCAATGTGGTTAGTGTATAATATCTAGTGAGAGACAGGTTAGAGTGTAGAGGAGTGCATTTGTTACGGCGAAGGAGAGAGTCGGCTAATGTGTACGTGTGCGAGCCTGCGTGTCTGCATACGAAGGCGTGTTCGGCACCTAGGGAAGTGTTAGAGAGAGGGAGAGAAAGGGGGAGGAATGGCACACAAGATAATAGTTTTCCATTGAAGGTTGAAAAGGGTGAAATTGAAGGTTTGATTTGCAGTCCTTGCACTTCTGCCTTACCTTCCAGGTTGTGCGTGTGTGGGGAGAAGGGGGATAGGGTTAACTCATTCCGGACACGTCAGTCTTCCGCCAATAACCAGAGTGCCGTGACGATAAGTAACGTTGCCTTTCCTTGTTGGGAACCTCGGAATTCTGCAGAAGTTACTCCACGGCACTCGCAAAGCAGTATTTTTCTCATGATTTCCATTCAGCGATCGTCGTAAAGAGGAACCGTTGAGAATCGCGCAGCGACGGTGGCGTGTCGTGTACTTGTTCGCGGGAGGGGGACAGCCCTTTATTTTTCACGGTGCGAGCCGTAGATGCTTGCATGATGATGCAGCAGGCCTCGGGCTCAGTTAGCGGCTATAGCTGCGACTATACTGAATAAATAGGTCCCCCCCCCTGTATTTTTGTCGACTCTTGCGCCACCTGGTGGCGCGAGTCCTGTACAGCCGTAGTCGCGTTGACGTTTTGCGGCATTCACGCGTTGGAACTGCGAATCTATGACGCGTGGCGCCACCTCGCCAGGTGGCGATAGACGAGTAGCTAAAACAGTAATATATTCATTCACACCAAAGTACGAAGCAATATTCATTCAGACATCGCGCGCGCTGCTCTCGCGTTCGTGATCGCATTGAGGGCTAGCGAGACGCAAGGAGGAGGGGGGGGAGATTGTACAGCGTTCGATGAGACCCGTGTTCTTATAAGGGTTGACTATAAGGAGGGTGGATTCAGGAGGGGGAGGAGGGGGGAGGGAGCTGTACACAGATCGTCTTCAACGTTGAGCATTCACAGTTCAGAGAGGAGGGTGTGTGGGATCGGAGAAATCTGTGTGCTGCGTTGAAAAAAACTGATTTTTCCGCGTTTGGACGCGTCTTCCGTTGAGATGGCCGGTAGCGGTGAGTAATAGCACATGCTAAAGGAGGCAGGGTGTCCACGGAGGGTCTGGGGATGGCCGGGGTGTCTGTGCGGCTGTGGCAATGACATGGAATATCGACCTTGGCCCGTGCGCCCCCTATCGGCGCACGGTGTAGTCTTGACCTCGTTCGAAAATGTATGATATTTATTTATGAGAGTTTTTTGGGAGTGGGAAATATAATTTTTGCATGCAGAGCAAAGAAAACCCAAACAAAAATTGGCTATCAAGCGTGTAAAGAGTAATTTAAGAGTATCCCCTTATCGCATTAAATGTCGCTAATCAAAAACATTGTACACTAGTGTGTAGAGAGCTTTCAACGGAAACCGTGCTGACGCGACATGTGTGCGTGTGCGTGTGCGTGTGTGTGTGCGTGTGTGTGTGTGTGCTGGTTATCGGATGAATCGTCTGCCGGCGTAACCTGCAGAGATGATCAGCTGAACGAAAGTCGCGTGACGTATGCGATGACGTCACGTGGCGCTGGCAATAATGTCAATGGGTGTTCGCGATGACGTCACGGGGCGCGTGTGGGGACGTCACGGACGCACGTGTTCTCGAAGCAATCCTTTCCATTACAACCGTGGGCCTTTTTTGGGGTCGCGTTGGTGACAAAGGTCAGATCAATCTAGTCAGCAATGTAATTCTTGCATTTCATAGAATCAGTTACTCAGGCGCAAATAGTCTCTTACTTTGTCCGACAGAGGGCGCCACTTGATCGGGACAGCGAACCACGGTGCCCACTTCCTTACAAAAAAACGTGTGGAAATTAAAAAAAGATTTCCACCACGATTCGTGTTGTTGAAAATTCGCGTTTATTTATTTCTAAAGTTCAACAGAGCCCGTGGGCGACCCACGTTCTTTGTTTTTTTCTCAATATTCGGTCGGAAAAAGATCTCGCTTTGCCCCCGTAGTATGTCAACTGCCCAACACGGGCCGGGGGTTTATTTTGAGCTACGAATAAACGTTTTCATTGTTTAACCATCGCGCGATACCGGAACGAACGCAGCACGTCTTCCGATGTCGCTTTACTTTTCTTGTTGCCAATTCGCTTCCATTACGCCCGTGTCTTACGAATCTGATCGTCGCTTCTCTTCTTTGCCGACGTCCGACAATATTTGTCTGACGCTAACGTATAAAAAGCAGATGGCCCCCGGGCGTGTCCGCCTGTTTTTACGGCGTCGAGCGAGTCTGAGTTAAGTTTTAGCTCGTTCGAGGGGAGAAGTATTGGGGGTGGGGAGCCCATCTGTGTTTCTGGAGTTCAATTCCACTGGAACATTCCGTGTTAATTTTTTTTGTCGTGGGAAAACCAGCGTCCCAGCGCGCGCAGCCAAGGTTTTTCTTTTAGATAGCGACATCGCTGGGTGCAATCTGCAATTCGAGAGTGCATTTTTTTATTGTTTTATTATTCTACACGTGGAGGGAGATTCACCGCGCGGCTCGCCGGCTCGTCTCGATGCGGCGGTGCGTGCGTGCGTGCGTGCGTGCGTGCGTGCGTGCGTCGGCATATTCCTACGATTGCCGTTTGTAGTCGTGCATACGAAGTGCATCCGGAGATTCGTTTGGTCAGCTTGTAGTGCGCTCGCACTGCTGCTGCTAATGATGATGATGTTGTTGATGATGATGATGATGATGATGATGATGATGATGATGATAATAATAATAATAATGATAATGATAATGATCATGATAATAATGACGACGACAATGATGGTGATTATATTTCACGTCACCATCACCATCATCATTATCAGCAGCAGTAGTGACAAGCACTATCCGTGTTGCCGCCCGACCGACCGACCTGCCGTTCACGCATTCCGCGTGTTTCACCGGGTATTGAACCGGTGCGTGCAGGAGGATGTCGTTGCCGTGAGCAGCTCGAGTTCACGGCGCGGCGAATCTCTCTCCACCTCTCGTCATATTTAATTGCAGGAAGACTTCGATGATGCCAACGATTTCCGTGTTGTTTCTTGTGTATATTACGTTTTTTCGGATATTTTTTGCGTGTCTGATATGCAGGGCTGGCTGATATGCAGGGTGATCGAGGCGTTTATGTGTGTGTAGTGCTGGCGGCTCCCGATTTATGCACTTTGTGATAACGTATGTGCAAGGTCACCGAACGCAGCAAGAAGGCGGGGTAGAGCGAGCGAATGGGAGAGAGAGAGAGAGAGAGAAAGAATGAAAGTGAATAGAAAGAAAGAAGGAGAGGTGGAATGAGAGAGGACAAGAAAGTGGCGGGAGGGATAGCCAAATAGAGAGGAGAGAGGGCGTGAGAGAGGATGAGATGTAGAATACAAAGAGAGAGGGGGTGAAAAGAGCGCGCGCGTGAGAGCAAGAGAACGAAAGAGAGAGAGAGAGAGAGAGAGAAAAAAAGAACGAGAGGGGGAGAAAGAGAGAGAGAGAGAGTGAAGAGAATGAGGGAGGGGAAGGGAGAGCCACGAGGGAGGAGGGGAAGGGGTCGTCACCTGTGAGCTGCTCGAACCATTCTGTGATTCATTGAAATATTTACAGTGTCTTTCCGATGTCTATGCTTGTGAGAGCGACGCGCCCCTGTCAACGCGTCGCTAACCTCATCCCTCGCCTCGTCAGTGCGCATGCGCGGGGGCCATGCCACAGTGCGCATGCGCGTGGAGGGTGAGGGAGA